TTGGACCGAGCGCGGATCTCCGTGCATTCAACTTTTCGCGAGAGCGTGCACATTCCCACGCGTTCCGTCCATTCGGACTCCGAATTTACACTTTTGCGATATATTTACATGTTTTCGCCTCCCTCTCCCTCTGTCTCTGTTTCTCTATCAATGCAGTCTTGCTTCGCTCCGGAAGCCAATCTCGCGGTTTCATAATCGGACGCGCCGATTTTCTATGTATTTATAAAAGCCCGCACCCGGCGCCAGCATCCGCGACTTAAAAGTAGCACGTCGATTCGAATCCGGCCACTTGTTCGATAAATCGTTACTCCCACCGCCGCCGCTGCAGAATAGAAACGCGATTGAACAGTTTACACTGTCGTACTTTTAAAATAGCGCCGAGGTCGGGACGACAGCTCGACGGTGTCTGTTTCGCCGTGCGATCATCGAACAGACCGTAGATCATTCGCGGAGTATTATTGCCGGCGCAGGTCGCCTTGGATCGCACGATTCCGCCTGGAGGCGTCTGGAAATACACGCGGACGCGATCAAGGCTCCTCTCCGAATCGTCCCCGAGCGCGGCGCGTAAACAGAAGCCTTGATACCACGATAACGCGAGTCACGGCGACGCGGACAACGTCGTCGTGCGCGCAAAATATTGCGGGCATGATTTATGCGGATCTAACGCTAAGGCGCGCGCGCAAGTCCAAAAATACACGTTCCACGGATATTTATATGCGCGCGCGCGCGCACACACACACGTGTCTTGCGCGTGGCGTATGCTGTTTTATCGCGTGTTGTGTCGCGAGCTCGCCAACGCGAATACTACCAAATTTGATATTGCAAATCGCCGTGGAAGATACACTTGGCAGAAAACACATGCCACCACCGAATTAGCAGCGCGCGGGATTAAGTTTCTTCGGCGCTGTCGCAACAGGGTGTTCGGAAAACGGGTGTCTTCATCAACTGCGGCGGGAACAGATCGCCGCTTTCACGGCAGCAGATCGCCGGTGAAATTATTGCCGTCACGTGCCGTCCCGCGACAAAGTGGACCGGCAATTTAGCCGGGGCCGGCGCTTTAACGAAGCTCTGCCGTGGTCCTCGCGTTTAAATGCAGAATCGCGCAGGGCGACCTCGCGAATCACTAATTGCCGCCACAAAGGCGTCCGCCAATCGCCAACTTCACGACGCGATCTCGCTGGGAGATCGTTCGCGCGGGTTCCGTTTAAATTCTCTTTCCTCGCGACCCTTTTCGACCTTCGCGAGACTGTCGCGGCTAATTTTCACGATTATCGCGTGTCCCGCACGGATGTTGATCCTAGAGATGGGCGATTCCTCAATTTAATTCGATTCTTGAATCGATTGTGAATTGTAATAACTGAAATCCATTTGCTATGTAAGTCGAATGAAAAGATCGGTGCGCACGTGCCTCCAATCGAATTTACTAAAGATTTACGATAAATATATATTTCTGTAAATCGATGAAATTCTTCCGGTAAGTTCGATAGCAAGCGCCGTAATTTACACTTGACGAGTCCTCTGATTAATTCGGCGGAATACTCAAGCCAAGAATCTTGTAATTTTCACCGGTATGCGAACGGTATTCTCCGTCGCTCCTGTGTATCGATGCACAGCTATCTGCCTGTCTCCGACACAATTCCGAATGTTCACTTGGCGACAATCGTCAGCGTCGATAAACGACAAGCTCTTCTCGAGTCGAAATTTTAACCTTACTTTGCCTCCTCCGTCCTGGATTTTTCTGAACATCCGGGGCTGTATTCTTGAGAAATATCGCATACAATGTTCGTTTTTCCTGGTTTGAAGTGCGCCTTCTTTGTCTGGTTGCGACGTTTTCATGAATGTTTATTTCTTCAGAAAGCAGATTGACTTGAAACTGCGTTGTAGAATGCAAAGTTTAACATAGGGACAAAATTTCGACTCGGGAAGACTGCTGTATATTCCGAAGTGCAGTCGCGGATCTCGAATCCGAAAGACGGGGGCGTGTGTGTTTCCTCGCGTCGATTTGGCGCACGAATAATACTCGCGAAACGTCGGAAGACGCAAATCATCCGGCGAACGAGTTGCCGCTCATCGGAACCGTCCCGATCGCGAACGGACGGCGGTCGTCAGCCGCTCGTTTGCCGAATTTACGCGCCGCTCGTTTCTGCGTTCGAAGGGAGTTCGTTGCCAGTTCTAAAACCGTCGTCCTGACAATGACGTAGAGACCCGCGCCGAAGCGCGGCCGTTTGTTTCGGCCGAGGCGATGGACCGCCGATCGCGAGCGCGCTCTCACTTGGACGAGCGGAAAAGCGTTCCGGAACGACGCCCTGCGTAGAATCGTGCGGACTTCGGCGATTTTTCGAGCTTCGCAAGCGCAACGCGCGCACGCCACGTAATAAGCGGCTTTATGTGAGTCACGGCGCGGTGGGCGCGGGACGATAAATAAACAATGGCCACTGTTTCGGCGAATTGTGCGTGCGCGGCCACTCTTGCGCGTTCGGCCGATGAGAATTTTGCGCGCTCGCTTCGATTAGATACACGAATAATAAACAGCCACACGGGGTAATCCACCGGGCTCGCAATCCGAGACAATTCGCGCGTTCACGGTGCGGGTCGATCGATAAGTCGCTGTGTGATCGCGAATAAATCGCAAATGCGATCAAAACGGATCGGCGAATAACTCGCAGCAGCGAAGGCTATCAAAGTGCGCCGAGAGAATGCCTGCTCATCCCCATTTTCGTCCACTTGCTCCGCAATCCTTTGTCAGATTCGGGGAATTCTCGAGCGGTTTCACTCTTCAAATTTGCACGGCAAAATCTTCATTAGATTCGCGATTTGATTTTCGGTGGTAGGTCAGGTGTTTGAGATATTCAGAATTCTATCCAAATTTTTCAGTTCAATCATAATATATGAGATATTCTATCTGTAATCGCGATTCGATTGAAAAATTCTCATCTAAGTATCTCACTCGAGATAATTTCAAATAATAACTATTAAGATCGTAATGTCTCAGGCACTGATTGATTAAAGCTTTTTTTATCAAAATAATCGACATATGAATAATCAAAATTAATCAATCTTCATATTTAAAGTCACAAATAATTTCACCGGTTGATGATACTAATTATTAATCAAACTTTGATGTGATTGCTTAGAGTAAGCGAACCTTTTTCGGAACAGCACCTATTTCGAAACACTTTAATTTTTTCCTGTATTAGCCGTCAAATTAAAGTGTACCGAAATAGGTTCACTTACTCTATACGTTGATTAATAATTAATTTCATCAATTGATTGAATTATTCCTGATTACATATAAGAATTGAATAATTTTGATTATCGATGTGTTTGATTTATTTTAGCAGAAAAGAAAAAAATTACAATCAATTAATACCCAACGCACTGCTGTAGATCTTCAAGATCTCGAGTTTTCATATGAAGAAAATATTATAGTAAAAATTACAATGCAACTTTAGTAATCCAGGGATAAACTATTACGAAAATTATAATAAAACATAAAATAAAAATGACTATAAATGTAGTAAGAGTTATCATGTTTACTATAGTCACTGTTTGCTATGTTTTATTATAATTCTCGCGAGTCTCGTAATAGTGTCAGTCTATTCCTGGACTACTAAAATTACACTGTAATTTTTACTACAATATTCTCTCCGTGCACTTTCTCGATATCTCCAATTTCTAATGTCTCATAAAATTTCTCCAATGTCCTCTCAATTAAATATCTAATTCCAACTTCTGTTAGACATCTGGTATCTCGGCTACGCTCTCGTAGATCAAAGGAAACACAACGCATTTTGTGTTACAAGCGGCCGACGAGCTCGCGCTCTCGTCTGCTCGCGAGCCCGTCGAGCTCCGTTCGGGCTCCCACATCGTCCCCTCGAAGTCTCCCGCATACGATCAGCCGGATAAACGCCCACGCGTCATGGCGCTGACGAAAACTCGGCTCGGTTACGGTGATCATACGGACATCGTGTATACATAGGCCGCCGGACGGCTTACCTCTTGGATTTTGTAGCTAGTGCGGACAGTCTTGCGTCTGGTGGTGGTGACCTCGTAACTCTCCTCGACGGTGGGCGCCTCATCGTCGACGGCGCGATGATCTCCGCTGTTCATCACGCCATCGCTTGTCCTCACCAACGTGTCCGTCTCGTCCATCGCGGCGTTTCGCGCGCGCTATTCGCCTCCGAGGATCGTCGACTCGCGTAGGAGACTCTCTGGTAGATCGCAGGGCTCTCGGTCGACGCGGTCTCTACCTCGCCTCAGCTGAAAATCGAAGATCTCGCTTGCTAGCGACGCAACACTAGCCCGATGCGGTTGTCCGTTTTTCCTTCGCGCTCGTCCGGCCGTCTGATTTCGGTGCGCGAGCGGAAAACTTTTACTGCCGTGAGAGACAGAACTATTCCGGGCGTGTAAGTTCCGCGCGAGGCGGAGAGGCTGGCGGTACTAAAGCACCGCGCGCATCGGGGAAACCCGCGACGGGCAAGAACCCGCGCGCGCCTTTCCACGGCGAAAATAGAACCTCGTGTTCTTTCTCCCGCAGGAACCACGAAACGTCGCGGCGGCGGCGGCGGCGGCAGCGAGATCTCGGGCTATCGGCGAACTACGACCTTCGACAGCGTCGATGTTAGATCGCCGATAAATCGCCCGCCTATGGCCGCACACCACGGCATTTATGATGCGACACGCAAATCGGATGCAGACGCCGCGAGAGATAACGCAGATCTGTACGCTTGAGGGATTGTCAAGTGGACGGATCGACACCTTCGAGGATGGATAGGATGTTCGAGGATCGAGTCGAGAGTGGATTCGACGGTACGAGGATCTACAATCGCGGGAAATTGTGGATCCAGATACTCGGTAATTCGAAAGTGAGGGAATTACTAAGTTTAACGCGCGCTTTCTCGCGGCTCACTTTGACGTGAAATCCTCTCAAATCCGCCGAAAACGTGCGATAACAAGTCGTGAAACGCATCCTGCACATCGTCATCACACATCCACGAAGGTGCGTAATAAAATCTATTTATTCAATAAAATACAAATCTCTGAAAATCCGTCGACACACAACCAACAGCATAGTGTAACAATCGTGTATATATAACAGTAGTGCAATAGCGTACCTGATTATCCTTAGAAGTTGAAAAAATCGCGATACAAAATTACGCGGGCATTGAGATATCGCAGCTCCAAAGCACTACGACGATTTTCTCCGATATTAGCCTCTCTCACCGATCGATTTAATTGATTTCCCTGAGTTTTCTACTTCGCACGCAAGCTTTCTTCTAGAAAATGGCACCGTGTTCAGGAGATTAGATCAAAGCAGTCTTGCATCCCTTATATTACTTCTCGATTTGGTATTAATCCCGTGTGTGTAAATGCGTTTGAATATAAAAAGAAAGAAATAGTAGAGAAAAGGGAACGGTTGACATACGAGTCTAAAAAGTTTATGAAATTCTTGTCCGTTCCAAGCTTTCCTCCGCTCTCAGTCGTATGAGTTCTTCCGGCCGATAAACACCCACTTCGGTGATTATGCCGGCGATAAGATGCGCCGGTGTCACGTCGAACGCCGGATTCCAGCACTGTATACCCGGCGCCGCGATCCTTTGGTCCTTGATGTGCGTCATCTCCTTTTCAGGTCGCTCCTCGATGACGATCTGATCGCCGCTGGCTATCGTAAAGTCTATGGAAGTGCGTGGCGCGGCCACGTAGAAAGGAACACTGTGGTATTTCGCGAGGATCGCGATCTGCAACGGGACGGTTCGTACGGTGAACCGAATACTTCACAAACGATGTTACTTTCGCGCGCTTGCGATACTCACCTGATAAGTGCCGATCTTGTTGGCGGTGTCGCCGTTCGCGGAGACCCGATCAGCCCCCACGACCACCGCCGTGATCTGCTTGCTCTTCAATAGCGCAGCAACCATGTTATCACAAATTAGGGTGGCCGGTATCTTATCGTGCACCAGTTCGTAGGCAGTCAGACGGGCGCCTTGATTGTACGGTCTCGTTTCAGTGCAGTACACATGATCTGAAAACAGATAACGAGGTAAAGAAACGCATTCTAGAGAATTAGAAATGTGAGTAGGGTCTAAGATAAGTGTTTTGTGGACACGTCCTTAATTCTGGACGTTCTTATTGTTCTGGTCTTAAAATACGAATGTTGAAATTTTCAGCGTAAAAAATATATATATATATATATTTTTTTTTTTTTAATATTTAAAAGCCAAAACAATACGAATATGTAGGATTAGAATGCCCAGGTTAAAGCGTTGATATTTTTATTTGAATAACTAAAAACAGATATTTACCGAGTTTCTTCCTCTTGCGAAGAGATCTGATGACACCTAAAGCGGTACCGTATCCCGCGGTGGCGAGACTGCCGGTGTTGCAGTGTGTGAGGATCCTGATGAAGCTGTCTCCGGACACGCTACGTAGGATCTCGTCCGCGCCGTAATTGCCGATCGCCTGGTTGTCCGCCACGTCTTTCTCCAGCATGGCAACTATGGTATTTATGAATCTATAATGGAGATTTTCATGCTGGAGTTTAAGAGTGCCATTCCTCTCTCTCCCCCCCTCTCCGTCTGTAACCCTCGGCACATCGGGGGATTACGCGGATCCGCGGACGCGTCTGTACATACCTGTCTTTCATCTCGCACGCTGTGACTTTGTCGTTCTTGCTAAGGCTATTGACCAGAGTGATGAGCTCGTCGGCTGCCGTCTTCATGTTAACGGCGGTCGGACGCGCCGACACCAGGTAGTTGAGCTTACCCTCGATCTCATGGCGAAAGCGTTTCTTATCTGTGATATCTTCGGGCAGTATCTCAGCCGCTAGGCTGAGACAGCCCACGATAGCGATGGCTGGTGCGCCTCGTACCTACGCATAAGTTCATCACGTCGGCCATGAGAGATGAACGCGCGCGACCGTGTCAATGCGAATTCATACAGTCAGGAGCGGCAACACTCGACAGTCTTCAAACTTCGCGACATATCCAATAGGAGAATTTCTTTGCTAATGGTTGCGTTCAGCAGAGAAAGCTGCTTTGCAACTGTTGTAAAATTCGTGAATCTGATTGGTACGTGCTCTCAATCAAAATTAAGAGCATACTCCAATCAGATTCACGAATTTTACAACCGTTGCAAAGCAGCTTTCTCTGCTGAACATAGCCAATGCTTACTTTTGAGACGAATTTTCCTATTGGTCGCCGGATATGCTCTAAAGTTTGCGACGGTTAGAACGTCGCAGCTTTTCTTGTACTGTCTCTCTCTCTCTCTCTCTCTCTCTTTCTCTAGAATCGTGCTGTTTCGTTACGCGATTATTTATTTTCGATATTAGGATGAATTGTACATACAATCGTACAACAGCTCGTTCCGAAGCTCGACAAATTAAGAAGCGTTACAAGCTTCCCGCGATTGTATACGTCATGCGTTACACACGCCACACACACCATACACGCAGCACGCATACCGCTATATTTCCACATGTACCTGTACAATCACGCAGTCATGTAAAGTAACAATAAATTTCGTGCGGGTAAGCTAGATGATAAAAAGATGCAAAGTCATTATACAATGGCAAATATTGATTGTATCGAGAGACTTGATTAAGGCGGAGGAGTAGGGGAAAGAGAAGGAGGGGTACACGGGAGCAGCATGCCGTATCGATGGAGTTCGCGGTGCGAACGTGTCGCAATGCTCGCAAAGCCACTAATAATGACGCGGGAGTCCAACAACGCAAGTGAGATCGAGCCGTTACCTGCATCTTGTTGATCGCGTGCCAGCCGTCCTCCACGCCGCTGATGAGGACGGAGCGCGTGGTCTCCGGCAGCAGCGTCTGGTCCAAGATCTCCAGCCTGCCGTTGTCCCAGGTGATCGCCTGCAGCGTCATCGCCGAGATGCCGAGATCGTGCCGTGGGCCGCGCGAAAACGACGAGAAGAGAGGAGACTCGAACCGGCGGAAACGGGAAAACGACGCGACGTGACGAGACGCGCCGACGGCCCTGATATTTTAAAGGACGGAGCCGCTATGACGGACGGCATTGATCGGAGAGAGCCGAGGAAAACATTCTAGCGCCGGCTCTCGATTTACTTGGGCGACGCGCCGCCATCTGCCGGCGTCGAGTCGCAACTACGCGCAGCCGTCTCTCCCGTGCCGCTCGAGATCCCCGACTACGTCTCCGTTATCTCGGGCCACGGTGGGCATACGAGACAACGGCTAAGTTCAGGCAGTTTTAGAAAATCGACCAATCACAATCGATGGCTCGAGACCGTGAGAAGAATCGTCGGCTGTGATTGGTCGATTCGCTTACTCCTCAAGTTTCACCGCTTGCATTTCTAGTGTTTGTATGCTCCCGGCTTAATCTTCGCGGCTTCCTTTTTCTCGTCGCAATCGCGCGCGTCGGAGTCTGCGTGTCAGAGACGCGGGTAACGTTATCTCGTCGGGAACATTGCGTAATGACTGCTGATAACGGACGGATGGCGGACAGGAGGCGATTGCCAGAATGTTTTGAGGATTCGTTCCAGCACGAGGCTGTAATAGTCACGAAGGCTGCGAGGCAATCGCGCGACGCGTTCGATAAATATGCTCGATTCCGTAAGAAAGAAACGGAAAGATACAGGTTATTCTTTGGATAGTTACCTGCGTCAACACACGCGTTCATTCCTCCCCTTTTCTCTCTCTCTGTCTCTCTCTCTCTCTCTTTGTTTCTCTCTACAAGACGAGTCGCGTTCATTGAACGAATATTAGAGTCGACAATAAATTAAAACCAATAGATCTTTCTCGAGCATTCGAATAAACATGGCGCGCATCGCGCTGTAATAGACTGATTAAGAAACTCTTCTCCTTACCTAAATAAAACGCTGGAGCAGGGGAAGGCGTCTCTCCTTTGACCGCTTTACCAGAAGTAAAATTTAAGTACCAATGCCCGGACATGTATCTAATTCTAAACATTTTTATTGTTTTAGTCTTAAAATATAAATATTTAAACTTTCCACATAAAATATACGTACAAGTATTGAGTATAAATACATTCTAGGTTGAAAGTTTAAATATTCGTATTTAAAGACCAAAATAATTTAAGAATATTCAGGATTAGGTACGTGTCTGGGAATCCTCTATCTTAATTTTGTTAACACGAACCCCAGTTTGTCTCTCAAGTTAATTATCGTTTAGTTAATTATCGCGTCTCTCTCATCTTGAAAATCGATGCGAGCGTCACATCGATTACTGCACGTTCTCGCGAATTAAGAGCATCACAAAATTAGTTTGCCCTAAAACAAAAACGAACCATCGCGTAGAATTCACACCGATATTACACTCAACAAATATTTTGCCGGTCTAGACATTCTAAATGTCACAGTTAAAATTCGTCGCTGTTTCTCGTGTCTGCCAGACAATTATTTGCACCACGTAGAATTTACAGCAGCAGCATTCTAGCAATATTTGCAAGTAAATTTAGGTGGATATGAGGATTATATATTCACTTGTTTTTTTTTATCTACTACAGATAATTTTTATAAAAAATGTAACCCCTCGGCTCTAATCTGAAATACGGGTGATACAGAAAAACAGAAAGACTTTCTTGCCAAATTTCACAAATAGTTCAAATACAAATTTTACCTCTGTCATTTATTCATTAAATGCAAAACATATTCGATGTCGCGGTATTTGCTACTTATTTATTCATCTTGGTTAATTTCTTTGGATCATTTCTTCAGATTATTTTGACTGTAAGACCATCCATTTGAATGGTACCATCGTCGGCGAATGCGGGAAATCTGGAAGAATCGGCCCAAGTGCGAGCGCGATTCGCAGCAGTTGTCGAATTGGCGCGCGCTCGCGGAACGTTCGCGACTTATTTTCGCTATTATTTTGGGCGAAATTGCAAATTCGCGTGTAACGCACGTAGAACGGCGCCCGCAGCATATCCGATAGGCCCTGTCGATCGCTTTACTTCCAGCTCACGTGCGCCGTAAAGTCTGGCGAGGATAGCGAAGAGGTGCGCGCAGGAAGACGGCGCGAAAACGTCGTACATTCGAGCATCCGCGCACTACATCTTTCTATCTCCCCCGTTCTTTTTCTACCGGCGGCGGCGGCGGCGGAAGTCGAAATCGCCCGTAGTCGTAATTTCATTTAACGGACGCGGCGAAATTCCAAAGTGCAAAGTGTCGCGCGCGAAACGCGATCGTGAGAGAGACGCTTTGCAAATCGCGCTCTGCATGATCCTTGTTTCTTAGCAAGATAAATCTTACACGAAGAAAAGAATGTGCATTTCCGAGTGACTGAATTCTTCTTTTGAGTACATGATAATGTGACATTTTTCCACGCGCACTGACAGTCTATGCCTGCGCTACTAGAAACAGTGGGAAGAATTTATATGGAAAATAAAAAATGCGCGCGATATTCTCTCCGCGAACAGAAGGAATTCTTAAGAAGACACAGAAGGTCGCCGGCTGTCTATACTTTCGTCTTGGGAAAATATTCGCGCAGCCGACTGTCTCCTGCTGGTCTTACCTTTTTCGTTCCGCTCACCGGCTGCGCGTTGTTTGCATATTTCGCATATGCGCGAACGTTATCTGGCGCGGACGTCACAGCCATTAAGCGGGTTTCTTTCAACAATACACGTTACGAGGACAGCGCAAACAGTGGGAGATTCGACGTGTCTGGAGTGTCTCTCTGTCGCAAGAGAGAGAGAGAGAGAGAGAGAGAGAGAGAGAGAGAGAGAGAGAAAGATACGGATCGCGAGACCCGACGTCAAGCTTTATCGCGCCGAATATAGAAACCGGGATCGCGCGTCGATGTGTATCTCGAGTTAACGCGAGAAATTCATGAGCCGCGAGGAGCAGCGCTCTCTCGCCCCCTCGGGAGATTAATTTCGCATCTGCCCTCGCATTTGCGTACCCGAATTCCCGGCAAAGTCGACGAATTCGCTTTGCATCACCGGGCTCCGGCGAGTCACGCGCAAGTGAAAACGTGGTGAATGAAATTAATCAGCGCGCATCCGAGGATCAAGATGGGTCCTCTCGCGGGGAGATACTATTCGGAATATCCGCGGGGCCGCGGTAGGGAACAGGGGGGAGGGAAGGGGAGAACGGTGGGCGAATAGAGAGCATCCCGAGAGCTACACAAATTCATATTCACTTTAATTAAATATATCTATGTACATTATAGATACATCATCATAGTACATTTATACCGTGTGTGATAACTGTACAACAGTAGCACTTTCAATACTGTTCACAAAAATACATCGCATATAAACGAGCAATGAGTTTATACGCGAGGTCGGCTCACGCGACTCGCGACGTAACATAGTGCGTTACCATCGGGGGATCGTCATCACCTTCTCGCGCATCGTAGCCGCGAACTCGCGCGGCTCGCTTGTGTGTGTGTGTGTGTGTGTGTGAGTGTGTATCGTATATAATGTCATTGTATTATGTACAAAAGAAGAAAATGACTCGCGTGCTCGAGAGTCATGGGCACGCTCACGGGCCAAGAGGAGGAACGTGTGCTACGAGAGAAGAATCTTTATATTCATACTTTTTTTCTTCCTGCTATATATTTTTCTTGTTTTTTTCTCCTTCTTCGCTTTTTATTCTTTTTATTAACTTACTGCGCATAAAGAACATTATTGAGGCCGCGCCGCTGTGGAGCGCGGCGGCGGCTGCGGCCCCTCCGAGGGGGCCGTTTCTTTTTAAGTACCATCAAGAGACACGAGACTGACAGATTGATATCGATATTAATATGTAGTTACATCGAGTGTGTGCAATAACTGGCAATCCGAGTCCTAACCGTCGTGACGAGAATACGCGTTGCCCAGTAGGTTCCAAAACTTACTAAGCCGATCGCACGACGCGGTAGGATGGAAAGGACGAGGGGGTAGGCTCGGGTAGGAGGATGATTCGTAAATTCGTCAGCCACTTGAACCAGTCGCATTTTATTATTTATTTATGCAAGCGCGCACACACGATGCAGCGGACGCGATTCCGTCGCGATGTGCTTGCGAAGCGCTTGCAGAAAGATCTCGAAATCTTTGGACTAAAAGGGAAGAACCGAGAAGGTCCCGACGAGTCACACAGGTTAAGGGTAGGTTCTAGCTTAGAGACAGCTGCGAAAAATAGGAAGTTTCTATTTGTTTTTCAAAGATACCAATAAAGGATCAATATAGGATTTTGGACATAATATTCGCCTTTGTTTCAAATATAAAAACTTATTTTAAAAAATTGAAATTTTTTTCAAGTTTTTGTACTGGGCGCCGAGCTCGTCCTTAACTGGCGGACAACATCACAGCTCGTGTAATAATCTGAAACGAATGGAACATGAAAATTTAAGGAGTGTATTAAATTTGTTGAACTCTTTGAAAAATTTTCAAAATTAGTATTTTTTCCAGAAGACACTCTAAACAGAAAGGAAATAGAAAAATGACTCGTAACTTCAAAGTACCGCCATTTCATTACATTTCGACTGTCTGCACACAACAAAGGTTTATCCTTCGACAAATTCAATAGTTTTTGGATTTTCTGGTCGCATTCGTGTCAGATTATTACACAAGTGTTGCGATGTTGCTCATCAATTAGAAGTCCTCGACGATATTGCACAAAAAGTCTAAATGAAATTTTGATCTCCTTAAATAACTTTTTATACTTGCAACAATGATAAATAATACGGTCAAGACTCTGTATTAATATCTTTGTTAATTTCTTTGAAAAAGTCCTAAGACTCCTAATTTTCTATCTAAACCAGAAGCTTCCCTTAGGAAAGGGATTTTCTTATAAACATTTCTCCTCCTCTATCTCTCCCTCCTGAAATAAGGGCGATAACGTAAAGGGCAAATTAAAAAGAAAAGAATCCCTCTAAACTTAGTACACCTTGGAACCTTATCGCGGTGATCGACAGAGCTCGCTGCGCGCTCTCCGTTTTGAACAGCTTATCACAATTGAATTCGACCTCACCTCGCTCGCGATTCGCACGCGCTTTATCGGTTATCGACGTTGACTATATACAGGAGTATTCTCGCGAAAAAACAACAAGGAACATTTGGTATCGAGGGCGATAATTCGGTGAGTTGTGGTGTCGGTGGCCAGGTGCGGGAGATCGCGCCGCTCGGCGTCTAGGAACTTGTGT